CCCCCCCAGCCGCGCGGGCCCCCGCGGTGACACGACGGGGAGTTGCGGTAACTGCGCTAGCGCAGCAGTAAGCGAAGGGGCCGTTTTGCACCGGCCCAGAAACGCAGTGACCGTTTCCACAGTGCCCGCTCCGCGACGATAAGTTGCACCCTGAGGGGGACACTGGAGTTGCAGATAGCCCAATTTTTCCACGCCTGAACATAGGAGGGCAATTTATATAAAGCTTAATACATTTTATAGGCAGATAGATGGACAGACATGTCTCTCTGAGAAAACGTCACTAAAAATCCAGCAATGTTCCTTATTTGCAGCGTGGTTGTGAATTATTGCCCCCCAGGAGCAGGGTTCGCCTTCTTTCCGAGGGCGATCGACGCTGGTGAGGAGCAGCGTGTCCACCCGCGGCCCCTTCAGACCTGGCAGATGAAGCGGTTTCCGAGTTCTCCCCACTCGGGTAGGAGCCCCCGCGCCCAGCCGGTGCTGCCGGCGCTGGACCCAGCCTGTCCCTTGCGTGGGAGCCGGTGCCGAGCGAGTGCTCGAGCCCAGCCGGGGAAACCGCTCGGGTTCGCTTCAGCTTCTCTGCCGTGCTTCGCGGAGGATCAGCAGGCTGCGTGACTCAGCCCATTTATCCCCTCTCCTCTTTTTTATACCTTGTGTCTTTCTTATATCCATTTTTCTGTCCTACACTGCTAAGTAGCAACACTGTACATCGTCAAAAACTGCTCTATTCCCTCTCTCCTTCCCCAGCCCCCAGTAAGTGGCTGTAATTTCATAGGAACTAAAATAATCCTTTAGATACAGTATACTTTTCAATAGTGCTATTACACTTCGTTTTAATACAGTGAGTTGTGTAATACTAACAGTGCACCAGGCATCTCAGTAAAGAAGCTTGAGTTACTATGGAAACACGAAACACCTTTATTTAAAATTCAGGGAAAATTGCCAGCAGAGTATAATGAGCATACATCAGGTTTCAGCCTTAGCCAAACAATTTGTCTGTTTAATGACTGTATCTGCAATGAAAGTGTTTTGAAGCGTGAAGGTGGCTCTGTGTCTTCCTCACCACCCATGCTCATAGTCTACGATGGGCAAATCGACTGCTGAGTTGAAAAACATGCTGAATCTTTAGAAAAACGCGGCTCAAGTTTTGGCCTGAAGTAAATAACTTGCAGTTTCAGAGGCATCACTGCATTTGGAAGAGCTCAGTGTAGAAGATTTCTAATAGATAGTCTAATAGACTCTTTTCTAACACACTCAAAGAGTTTTAATACACAGGTAATAAATGCACTTTTTTTAGATGGCTGGAAGAGCCTTTGGGACCTTCAAACCCAGTCTTGGAGCTGCCTCAAATCCAGGGACACCAAAAAAAGAAACGGAAGCTTGTGAGCTACACACTGTCAGTGCTGCAGGAGGTAAAAAATACTTCTAGATGAGTCCATTCTTCCCCTAGAAAACGGTAACCAGTGATTTAGTAAGCAAAACTGCTGGATGAATTATTAAAATAAGGTACTGGAAGTTTTTATCTTAACATTTAGATTTTTTTAGTGTTTTTTAAAATTAATTATTTGTCAGCACACTAGTATCAGAAGCAATACTGTTAAACCACAGTAAAAAAAAAAGCTATAAAACAAACAACAAGGAAAAAAGTTTAAAAATGCAAAGGAAGGGTGATTTTAAGGAAAAAAATTATTAAATGATTGCCCTGACCATAACAGCCCTATTTACAGCTGCTCTTTACCTATCTGATCTTCCAGAAGGGCTGAAGATGGGTTTCACCTTCAAAAGAGCTCTGGAAGGTTTATCTGTGGAGTCCGAGCTTTAGTGGTGTGCAGCTCAGTCATTACTGGACCAACCCTCTTCAAGTTAATGGAGCTGAGCTCTCACATTCCATTTCCTTTTTTAAAATAATATAGAATGTGCTTTAATAACAAGATTTGTTTTGAGAGTTGCAAACACGCGCTGGCCTCTCTAAGCTAAACCTGATGCCTTGCTACCAGTGCACTGTGTTGAATCAGAAGTGAGCTTTTTACAGTTTTGTAGCTTCTGTCATATTTGTCTCCATCATCAAGACTCACGCAACTAGTCCTCCCCGAGAGCTGCTGGCAGTCCCTTTTATCATTCAAAGGCTTTGCTTCTGAGGCTCTGGGGAGGGCAAAATCCTGGTCCCATCCCACAGAGGGGGTGGGCTGTGGGGCTCAGCAAACCCCCCGAGCCATTGCGGCACAGCCTGAGCCGGGCTTTCGGGAGCAAAAAGCAAGACTGTGCAACGAAGGACACAGCACAGGCGGTGCATCCCTAGGTGTCGGGAGGGGAGCCGCTCCAGGGGTGTATCTTTTCTGCTCAGTCATCTCATAAAAATGGCTTACAAAAAGCTTTATATTTCCAGGCCCTGTATGTGCAGAGCGGGTTTCTGCTTTTCCTTTCCTGTCATAGGAGCCTTCCCAAAGTCACATCATCGCTGTAGCCAACAGTGCACTAAGCCGTGTCTCTGCTTCTCCTTACTGTGCTGCACTGATTCACATGCGAATAAGAGTATTTTAAAACCTTTCCCCTGTAAAATAACTTTATGCACTAAGTGGTAATAACATTGGAC